TGTGAGCAGCCGAACTGGACTCGGCTAGAGAATGGACGTATGCAGCAACGTGCAACGAACGGAACAACACGCTGGAAGCAAGACCGTGGTCAGTGACACAGAGAATGTGGGTTGCACGGACGTAGGCGGCAGCAAACGGCGAACTCAACAACATGCTGGAAGCAAGCACAATGATCAGTGACGCGGAGCATGTGATCTGTGCCGTATCAGTCGTGCTCATCCTCAAAGGATCAGAACCGAGGAAAAAAATAAAAAACAAATAAATGAGTCTAAAAACCTAGAGCTCTTGATACCGTGTGAAATAATGGGAAAGGGTACTCCCATAGAAGCCGAGACATATATAATTACGATAGAAGGGTTGTCAAAATACAAAGTATTCCCAAATATATATTTAGCATATTCCTAAATAGATATTAGACTTATTATCTAATTTCTTTATTTGCAACTAAAAGTTTTTCAAGCACATTAAGCGTTGAAAAAAGCCAAGGATGTGAAGCAACGGCCTCAAATCACTATTAGCTAGGGTAAGCACAGATTTTTTGCCTTTGTGACTGGCTTTTCTATGACCAAAGTGTTGTTCTTGACATACCAACGAGACTCAATAATCATGGGAAATCGGGAATGGTTAGATAGTCCAGGTTGGAGGTGATCTAGTCTCGAGAAGGTTAATAATGATGATGCTGAAGAATCTAAACGTCGACGTGTGGGAACAGAGGTGAAAAAAGGAACCGTGAGTGAGATGGCACCAAGACCAAAAAACAGGATCGGGGATAGTCGGGTCTCTAGGCCTTCCTAGGAGCTTGATGACTCAAATTTTTATTCGGAGTGATGTTTCCTTTGCTAGTTTGTTGCTTTTAATTTTGGACTCCATTTCTATTGGGTGTTTAGAGATGCTTTGAAAGACATGTTCATTCGTTTGGTCATTATAGACAAATTGTCCGTTCAATAGTCCATAAGTTATTGTGCTACTTTAGGCGTGAATAATTTAATGTAATCTTAGAGCTTGTGACCGAACTGGGGGTGCTTGTATGACTGATGGTATATGGGTTTTTTATATCTTTATACAAAATAATAAGCATGAATAAGGGTAGGTTTATTTTAGGTATAAAAAAATTGTTGGTGGTATAGTATAGCTTACTTCACATGTACTTTGTGTTTAATTATTTGTTCCTTTTTTAAGTGGGTATAACTCTGTTAAGAAACGCAGTTTGTCATCCGTTCCTCATCCCCGTTTGCCTTCGTCGTCAACGCAACCCACAGTTCACACTCCAGGACTAACCCTTTTTTGCCTTCGTCGTCGGCTTGTCGCTATTGGGAATTGCGGAATCAAGAATTCGAAGTCCCCCTGCATTTTCTCTTCGCCTCGCCTCCCTATCTGCTCTTAGGAGTCTTCGCCCGCTCTCGTAGAATCCATCAATCGGCTCTTCATCTGAAATACAGGTTCGTCAATCAGCTCTTCAGCAGTTCCTTTAACTAGGTTGTGATTTTTTGAAATTCCAAGAGAATTTTCTACATTTGGTCTAGCAAAGGTGATGTCAGTTTCTTATCTTGTATTTATTTGAATTCTTTGAGATGCTACTCCACTTATGCTTAGCGTAGCTAGCAATCAAATATAGTTCTACTATGTTGTTATTGTGGTCATGGATCTTTGTGCTATTGAGATTTTTGTTTGGCAGTATTTTTTAAAAACCCAAATTTTGGAAACTTGTAATTAAGTTGTACTACGGAGTAATACTTTTGCCCATTTGATGGGGTCAATTTTGTTGACTGAAAAAAAAAAGAGATTATGGCAACCGCGTTATCTCAAAGTGTGTTAAAAAATTGTTTAAATTGATAAATGGAATCTACAAAGTAATGCTAGAAGTTTCATTCTTTTTAGACATTTCTACTGTAATGGAATCTACAAAGTAATGCTAGAAGTTTCATTCTTTTTAGACATTTCTATTGTAATTCAATGTATAAATTGTTTTTTATAAGTAGACCCTCTAACACGGTTCAATAATTATCTATTTGAAAAAGTAGATAATCAGACTAATAAGGGGTGGGGTGGTGGTTTATAAAAGAAGGTATAATACTAGACATGGGGAGAGTGCATTTTGTTGCTCACCCTTCTTCGCAACAACATATTTCTCTAGATTCTAAAGCAAGATGGATTCAATCATTAGACTTTGATGATTGAGTGGTTATTTTCCTAACTGACCATGCTCTTCTTCCTCAAACATTATTTTTAGCTTAATATCTATTTGATCTTCCTGTAGAGTGTTTTGCACTTAGTTTGATGTTCTAGACTTCGATTGATTGTGATTGCTAATTGCTTTGGTGTATTCTGATTATTGGATTCTTTGCCTCTTGGTGATTGGGTTCAGTTTCATTTTCGTTCCTATTGTCATTCAGCTCTTTTCAACTAATAGATTAAAGTATATTCATTTGTGAAAATTGAGTGTATGTACACACTTTAATATGTAACTTCAGTTAATATCACAAGTTAGTAAAAATAAGCTAAATAGTCTTTAAGGAAATCCACGGTCACATTATAGCCCTTACGGCAATTTCCTTCTCTCTAACTACTGCGCTAAATACGCTGCTTTCTTCCATAAAAGATCACACCTCTATGGAGAAGGCACAATTGACTCATAGTCTCAGCGATTTTCATGTCATTAACAACATAACCCATAACTCTAGAAAGATCATGTCAGTAACAACATAACCCATAACCCTAGAAAGAAGTTCATCGTATTCGATCTCATACTCAAATAATACTAAAATTTGGAATGGACGTGCTTTAGTATTTAGACTTTTGTCTCTAGCCTGAGGGTATGCACTTCTATACTCATGATTAGAAAAGGCATAAAACAAAAAATATATATACTCCTTAACATATTTGATTGATGATCATAAATTCATAAAAGTAGAGTTATAGTGTTATTTGAAAAAATTAACTTACACTCCGGCACTAAATGGAGTTATAGTGCTTTGAAAATGTTACACGTATCTTTCTTTTGGAATCTAGGGTTGCAAAGGAGACATCAGGTTGTTTCTACGTTTTTTTTTTTAAATCAGGTTGTTTCTACGTTATTCTCCCAACTTGAATATAGCTATTAACTAGGGATAAAAAATTATGTGCAATTACGTGCAATATAAGGTTTAATATGTTCTCCGTCCTGGTATGTTGTAATGAACTATAATTAGGAATGAAAGATATAAACTTCATTAATAACAAAGGTGTTTCGGCTTTATATACTAATAATAAAAGTGTTATATACTTCATTAAATAAAATAGATGCTATTAACTTCACCAAACCTATTTTTTATGGTCATATAGTCATATTCTTTTCCAAGATAGGGAATTACTCAACAACTATCTTACGTTCATATACATGTACTATTATCTCATAAAATTAAAGTCACTATTAGCCGCCATACACCAACCTTATTATAAAATAACACCTGCCTTCAACATTGTATCAATGAGTTATGACACCTCTACTTGTGAATGATTTGTCTTACCATCTATCTAATCCGTTGGCAATAAAATAAATTCCATATTTGGTTTCATGTGTATCGCACCAATTCCAGAATAAGTTCACATTTTTTACTTTGACCATTTTGAGTATATATATGAATATTACTTTGTGCAGATATATGATCTTTTTATCAATATTTTCGGTGATTAAAATTGCCTTTGAGGCGCGAAACTTTGGACGGAATGATACAAATGGCAAGAAACAATACTCAGAATACTGATAGTGGACAAAACATTGAGACTAAATAGGAAATTGACATACAACTCAAATGACCAAAAGTGAAATTAATTCCTTACATTACAAGGTCACTTTTGAAATGTAATCATGGGTCTATATTCACTTTTATACAAAATTATTTTCTTCAGAGTTCATGCCACAACTAAACATACATCTATTGCCTTCCGCAAATAATGCCTTCAACCTTCTCTTTGAAATCGTTTGCAACTCATAGCGGCTTAAAAATTCATTGAATATGGTGTAAAAATGAAAAGAGATCAAATGATCAATTAACGAATCGAAAGTAGAGGTGTCTGATTGTTGGTGTTAAAGTTGAAAGCAAAAGTGACAAATTGAAATTAAGGCGATAGCACATGTATGTAATGGTGAGAGTTAATTAAATGATTGTTCGATAACTCTAATGGTGATTCATGAAAGGTAGTGACAATTTCTTATTTTTCACTTCATGTCATCCTAGGTCAATAGATATGCATAAATGATACCGATAGTATTTTGTTTATTATTAAATTCACATACTTGACAACTACTCACAATTTTAGAATTTCTTTACTTAAGTCACCTTGATTTTTAGAATATACTACAGTACCTTTTAATGTATTATTCACACTACAAAAATAACGATTGACAAATGATTTAACATGAATTTGACACAGAACGGTAAATCTGTACCAAATTCTCTGCCACACCGTTTTGTCATGAGCCATTTGGCTCGAAGCCATGTCAAAAATAAGTTATGATCCATGTCACACTCGACCGATTTGTATCAATATTATAATACCGTTGTTTATAGTGACATAATGTCATGCCAATATTTAGAGGGGATTAAAACATATTTAATGGATCTTTCAAAAAAACATAAGTATTTAATGGAAAAAATTATTAGTATCAGTGACAAAAAGTCGGACATTTCTTAGGGTTGGTTTGCAACTCTTTTTAAAAAAAACACTTTTCAGCTTTTGGCTTTAAAAAAATACTTATTTTCCCAAACACTACAATTTTTATTTTTCTCAGCTTCCGCGTCAAAAGTGCTTTTACTTTTTCTATTACACAAAAATGGAAAAAACACTTATTTTACCAAACACTACCCACTTTTACTTTTCAAAATCACTTTTTTCTCAAACACTATCAACTTCTATTTAATCACTTCTCCCCATTTCATTAAAAAAAAGCATTTTTTTTAAAAGAAGTTGTTGCAAGAGACCCTTAATGAAGACTAGAGAGTGCACCCAATATTCCTCGAAAAAAGGATTACTGCCACAAGTGTGACAATAAGATTTCCCAACATAATGATATAATTTGGGGTGTCTAACAAGTGTTCCACCTTTTATCCATCTTGTTTATCATGATGAGTATGGTTTATTTTCACAAACTTCATGCATTAATTGCAATTTCTACTCACACTCACAGGCCTAAAAGTTCAAGTCATGTATAAGAAACTATACATACTTTTCTCCAATTTTTCAAAAAAAAAAACAGAAGAGCTTAAATGCAGCTCAAGTTAGCCACTTAGCCAAGAGTCGTTCAATTTGAAGCTGAGAGGCTCAATGGGATCAAACTCAAATTCAAATACTTGATGATATCTGTTTTCCTCTGGTTGACATTAACAAACAGATAACAGAAAAACCTGTTCTTGATTGGGTCTAAATAGTATAGGGATATGATAATATATAGATTTCCTGATCACCTTGGCTGCGAAGGCATGATCATCTTGGGAAGAAAAATCCACCTGATTATCCCTCCTCCTTGGGAACACCTAAACCTGAGAATAACATAGGAAATGAATCTGTAAAGAAAGATGAAGGAGAGCATGATTAACACATTCCTCCATCTCCTCTCATCTCCATATCCTTCTTCCTTCATCAGCTTCTCCCCACTTACCACACATTTCCCTAACACCGCCTGCAGACACTTCTCCGGCCGGGAGAACTCGTTTATCAAGAACCCATCGAACGGGTACTTAAACAGAGATATGTAATGCATGAAAATCCAGTACTTCGGTATCCCGTTCTTCGACACGAAGTAACCCGAGAAGAGGAAGAAGGAGCCCATCACGGCCGACACGACCGAGTTCCCGATGATGAAGTTCGGGACCAGAGCGCTGAAACACACTACCACTGAGTTTGCAGTGTAGAGAATCAGCCATATCAGTAGGAGGAAATTGAGGTAAGGGGTGAATCCAGATTGGTTTAATCCAACGAGCCAGTAGAGAGGGAGGGAGAAGAGGAGTGAAAGGATGAGGAGAAATGGGAGGTAGGCTAAGGCGTTGGCTATGGCATAAGAGGAGACTCTGTAACTCCCACTGGATGTCTCTTTCATCAATATCTCCCTTTCCTGTAAAAATATGGGAAGAGCTTCTGTTGTGCTTGATAGCAGGAATGTCAATATGAATGCAAATAAGCCCACCCTTTCTTCTGCCCCCAGCAAGTCATCTTCCAGCTTGTAGAAAATTGATCCCAAGACTGCCCCTGAAATCAGCATTTGAATACTCCTGAACGCGAAAAGCTCTTTTGTTCTGTAAATGTTTTTCCAGAACCTCTGTGTGAGAATCATCGTCTCCCTCGTCCTCGAATTCGCAAACCCCGAAATATAAATGAACTCTTCATCATCGTGGGTGATGGCGGCGGCGGATTCCTCGTCATCAACCACCTTGGACTGATGAAATAGCTCTTGAAGGGTCTGGGTTGTTTTGAGCTCTGTTTCAGTATTACTGTTTTGGGTTCCTTTTTCTTCTTCTTCCTTACCTTCTTGAATGATTGCGTCAATGGATTCTATGGCGAACTCGAGGGCGTTGACGTGGGGAGGCGGGTGCAATCCCATGAGGCGCAGCCTCATCGTAAGCTGGTCGACGGTTCCATGGTGGAGGACGGTTCCGTTGGCCAGCAGGAGGATTGAGTTGAAGAGCTTCATGATTCTGAAGCCGGGCTGGTGGATGCTCAGAATTACGGTTCTGCCCCGGGTCTCCGCCATCAGCTTCAGCATGTCGATGATTTGCAGCGCCGAGGTGCTGTCCAGCCCGGAGGTGGGCTCGTCTAGAATCAGGACTCTGGGGTCGTGGATAACCTCCACGCCGATGGAAACGCGCCGCCTCTCTCCGCCGGAGATTCCCCGGATTCTCTCCGCGTCGCCGATCCGAGCTCCGGCGACGTGGCTCAAGCCGAGTTCATCGATCAGCAGCTTCACCCTCGACCTCAGCTCCCGTCCGGGGAGGCCCAGCCGGAGCCGGCCGATGAAAGTCAACGTCTCCTCGACGGTCAACAAGGGAAACAGGGTGTCCTTTTGCGTCACGTACCCCGACAGCTTCTTGAACCTCGCCCGGTCGACCGGCTTCCGGTTCAGGAAAATGGAAGCGCTCTGGGGTCGGATTTTCCCGGCGAGTATCTCCAGCAGCGATGACTTGCCGGCTCCGCTGGGGCCGACGATGGCGAGGATTTCCCACGGCTTGGCCCGGCAGCTAACATCCTTCAAAACGACGCGAACTCCAGCGCGGCGGCGGGGTTGAGTGGAGCTCCGGCGTGGGTGTGAGGCAGTGGGGATAGTGTAGTTTATGCCTAGTGCTTCAACTTCACAGCCCTGTTTCTTCATTATTGGTTTCGGTGGCCCTACAGGGGAGAAGAGATAAATCTGTGAGGGAAAGCATCCATTATTGGTTGGGAAATGGGATGGACGATCAACTGATGAAATTTCAGTGCTGATTAACAGAGTTTGTTTGATAGCTTCACATGCATACAGCTTCACGTGATCATCATTCCAATATCTTATCTGTCCTGTAACGCAGAAAATACATCAAAGAGTACATCAAACTTTTATATGAAGTAGAAAATACATTATACGGATTATTACATTTGATATTTCTAAAGTATACCAAATGAGTATATCCGTTAGTTTAACACGTAATATGTTGACTTGGCTAACAGTGCTAATAGGACTTCTGAAGGTCGACTCCGGCCCCCAGTCCCTTAGTCGACTTTTCCTTGGCAGACGCTAGTCCCCCGCAAATCGAAATTCTCTTTATCAATGCACCCCGCAGGTCGACGCCCCCCATGTCGATCTCCGAAGGTCGACTTTCCCCTTTTGGTCGACTTCTTGAAGGTCGGTGCCATAAGTGTGGTCGATTACCCCTTCTCACTCACTATTATGTTAGCCAACTATGCCATATTAACGTGATAACCTTACGAATGTACTCAAATAAAAAAAAAAACTGAATTCGTGTACTTACGAATGTCAAATGCAACATAATGTACTCTGTATTCCAGCTCATACAAATTGACGTACTCAATTGACTCTTTCATCATCTATATACTACCTTCCTCAATTCCCCCCCTCATATTGGGATAAAAAAGAGTTGTGCGCTTATTAAGAAAAATAGAAATGTGTTGTTGATATTAAATTGGTAAAGTATCAATAAAGTACAACTGAATTGTAATTGCCAAATATTGTTAAATCTGGTACGAGACAAATCTAGTGGGACAGAGGGAGAATGTAAAATGGGATAAAAATAGGAGGACGGAGGGAGTATATACAAAATTGGTTCATAAACAATATTTAGGATGTTTTTACTTGAAATGTTTTCAGTCGCATACCAGATCAGACCAGACTAGACCAGATCAAACTTAAAAAGACCACACCACACCAGACTTCCATAGTTAGAAAATACATAGAGCCCAGACATTTACCAGACCAGATCAGACCAACAAATATTAGTCCAAATAGAAACATCGTTATTGCTATCTTGAAGTCATAATGCCAAAATAGTTGCAATACTAGCATTGACGTTACATTTTTACTACTAATAATTTTATTTTTCAATCATGACAATAGTGATTCCTATTTTGAGAGAAAATACGTACATAGTACTATAGTAGTCTTATTTCTACATTTCATTTAGATTTTTGACATATTTCGAGCAATTTCTTTATTTCCAATTGGAAATAAAACCAAATCTACAAGAGTTTAAAATTTTAGAGCCATCTAGAAGTTTCATAGGTTAAATTGTTGAACCTTTTGAATGGGTTGACTCTTCTAAATTATGATTAAATTATACGGAATATTCAAATATTTTTTTTAATAAAATAAAGTAAAATTTATGTGAAAATAGTTGTCATCATCCATTTCAGTCAATTCACCCTGAAAAGTAACTCAAAAATCATTTATTTTGTTTGTGACATAATTAAGAGCATGAAATCAAAAGCTACGTATACATTATGAAAACTAGTAGTTAAACTTCTAGCCAGATTACAGAGGACCGATAGAAGAATCCATACCCTGTCGACGCTCTTGCTGGGAATGATTGGCCTGTGGATGCAGCCCCTCTTCAAGTCGATTGAAGATGGGAGTCTACAGCCTCACTGGTGGCTGTATTGGGTGTGGTGACTTACCTGGTTCTTGCAGAGTGTTTACACTTGTGTGTGTGTCCGGCATCCACGAGCAATGATTCTTCGATAAGAAACTATATATATGATTTACACTTGATCAACATAGTTTCACATTTATTCAAACTTAAATCCATGTCTGTAGAAAAATCCCTAGACTTAAAGATGAGAGGAAGTTCACCAATCAACCCCCATAAGAGAGAAAACTCCCAATTTCCTACATAAAATCGGACATAGCTTCGGGGTGGCTAGATAACTAAGAACCGATTGAATTTCATGAACCAAGACTCATCATCCATCAACTAATTCTCATAATATCAAGCACTCCATGTATCTATTTAGAACCAGCCCCTAGACATCAAGAAACTACCCAACTTCTTTCATTGATTTGGGTAAAACTTTGGGGTAGCTAAATACTCAAAACTTCACAAGGGTTTTTAATCAAGGATGAACAACAAATCCATAACAACCTAATTATTAAGAAAAACCATTAACTTTCATAGAATCAACCCTAAATCAATTAACCCTAGCAAAATCCACAACCAAGAACTATAACTCAAAATATAGAAGAAATACTTCATGTAAAGTGTAAAACCTTACCAAGTAATGATCCTTGATGAAGAATAGGTTTAATTTGGCCTTGAATCACCTTAGGAATGGTTTAGGATCGATTTGTAGAGAGAGGGACGAGTTAAGATCGATTTGGGGGTTGAAAGGGGGTTTCAACGCTTAAATGCGATTTTTGACCGACCTGCCCAAAACCGACCGGACCGGCACCGGTTTGGACATGACCGGCTCCGATTATGTTGCCTTTTCACCGACTAAACATTCTGTTTTGGATCGGCGCCGGTTCGGGTCCAGCCGGTTTGAGGCCATTCGGGTGCCGACAATGTCATTTTTAGCTCTAAACCGACCCTGATTGTTACCGTTCACATCCTAGACCCCCGGTGACATTTTAAACTACATTTCAACACCCAAATACTATCTAACATGACAACTAAATTGATTATTACGGTTTAGTTTGTTGCTCATCGGATACCCTCGCCTGTCACATTCAAACATAATACAAGCATGTAAGTTCAAATACAATTACCACAAAGTTCATAATCACATAATATCCTTATTCTTCACATGTATAACACTCAAACAATGAGTCAAAACATGATCCTATTGATTATTTAAACACCAAGGATGTTTTCTTTTGGACTGTTTTCAGTCCCAGACCAGACCAGACCATATCAGACCTGAATTTTTTAGTTATAAAATACACAGAGACCAGACGTTTACCAGACCAGACTTAAACAGACCAGACCGGACCAGACCAGACCAGACCAGACCAGCACATTTAAGTCCAAAAGGTATATGAAAAGTACGGGCACTACATTTTGTCTCCTGAGATATACGTTTTGTGGAATAAGATTGTGTACAAACATACTTTTCTAAATTCCGTGCTCACAAACAACTAAGATCTTTATGAGAAAATCTATGTCAAAACTCATTTTCTTCATATAAACAACTTAAATTTATGAGAAAAATTATGCCAAAACTCATTTTGTTCACATAAACAACTTAAATTGATGGTGCACATAAACATTCAACGTGAGTAACATTGCGTGAGAACATGAATTTGAAAAATACATCATCTATTTACACGTCATAAGTCACAACTACTTTCTATGGAAAAATATTGATTTACATGATGTGTCCAAATATTGGTTGTGCGCGGATCATTATACTTTAGACAACCATGTCTTTAGTAGTGTAAAATTATCTATGTCAACACAGACCTTTTAGAAGGTGTTTGGAATGGATCAATGTTTATGCTTTAAAAAAAATAGAAGTAGATTCACAATAGAAATTTTAGGTAAAATTCACAAGAATAATCCATACTTTTAGGAATTCTACAATAATAATCCCTACTGAGAGTGTCTACAAAAATAACCCGAACTAACAATATTGTTCATAAGAATAAATTGGGTGAATTCAAATTAATGTCTGTTTAATACTTTCAACACTTGCTCTCGTTTTCCTCTTCCCCAGGACGAAGAGTAACGAATGAGAAAGTGAAAGTAGAGGTTGGAAATATTAAATGAGCATTAATTTGAATTAATTTTGATTTATTTTTATGGACATTATTTCTAGTAAGGATTATATTTAGGAAAAATTGATTGTAATAATCCCAACTATTGGCGGTCTGCTTATAATAATCCCAACTATTGATTATCTCAGAATAATCCCAACTTTAGTGACCTTCCGCCAATAATGGTCCATGACCAGATATGACTTGCTATAACAAGTGAATTTTAAATTGAAATAAAGCGTAAAAATTAAAAGTTGAATTATTTATAGGGATTACTTGTTATATTTCTTCTCATCCACTTTAGAAACTATAGAAATTTATTTATAGCCGGTCATGTCGGACCATTATTGGCGGAAGGTCACTAAAGTTGGGATTATTCTGAGATAATCGATAGTTGGGATTATTATAAGCGGACCGCCAATAGTTGGGATTATTACAATCAATTTTTCCTTATATTTATAGATACTCTAAATCAATATATATATATAAAAGAGGAACTTTTTAAGAGTATACAAAGCGCCACCTAATCATGTCATGTCATCCATCATTTAATTTTTTTAATATTCCATATCTTTTTTATTTTATTAGATTCTATTTTTGATTGCATATTGATATGGAAACAAAAGACTTTATGATAAAAATCCACCTTATTTGGAAACTTTTTCAAAACCTATTTAATAATTATGAAATTCATTAATTGGAATCACACTTATTAAATAATCAATCATACGAAGTACTTTTTATAAAGTACTTTTATAAGCACGTATAATTTTTTTGATTATTGTTACACTTCTTATTTTTTATTACATTTTATTGAAGAAATAAAGTATCTTTGTTTTGCCCACTTAACAGATAAATCAGTTCCTTAAAAAAATAGATAAATCAGCCAAATTGCTATTTATTTTGTCTTCAAAATTATTTATATATATAAAAAGTATTAATAGTGTCCTATTTCCTAAAATGTTACTCCGTATATTTTATTCTTCTAAACTCAATGTTGAGATCATGATTAAAATTTTAAGCTATAGATTTGAAACTGTGTTAATACTTCGTATTTTTCTACATCTTCGTATAGTGCTTTCTTAATTATTAACACAATGATGAAAATTATAACCACTGAAAAATTGAAATTAAAAGCGAAATTAGTACTATTAGAATTTAGACATTCATATATAGAATCATATAAAGAGAATACTTCTAATCAAGTAGCTTATCTTTATTACATAGTATTTCATAAGGATGAAAGTTGATATCATACATGCATATGTGTGTTCACAAGTTAATACGTTTAGTCTAGCCAAAAGTCAATATGTTGGATTGTTTCATTTCTTTATTTTTACTACGGAGTACCAAATTGAGTTAAATGTAAGAACCTAACTCACTATTAAAATTTAAAAATATGTATTTCATACCAAGTTGATTGAGAAATATTAGAAAAATATTATTTTGAAATGCTCATTAAAGTAATATAGACGTTCATAACAATTAAAAATCATTTTCAATGTGACGAAATAATGAGTAAAATGTAAAAACACTCCATTTCTTACATTTTCAATGTGATGAAATAATGAGTCAAATGTAATATCTTACTATTAAAAGTTAACAGTAAATACTCCACAGTTCATACCAAGCTCAATGAGGAATATGAAAAAAAATTGAGGTGCATAATAAAATAATTTAGAAGACATGAGATTAATTAAGAAGCTTCTCTCTCAATTCTTTAAAATTGGGTTCACCACAATGGTGTTTAGTTGAGATGCTTATGTAAAAGAACATTTTGAATATTTTCCATATAATTGTCTCTTTATTTTACAAGTGAATTTTTTTTTAATATTTTTCATGATTTGAGAGATTCTGCCTATTGAGCCCATTCAAGTGATTCAACCCGAATTTAATCAATTTCAGTAAAATAAGCTGAATTCGCTAATTTTACTACGAGTATTATCAAACGAACTCTATATTTAGATTGAGTTTATTTTTCTTTTGCATCCCATTATATATGATTTCGAAAATATCAAATTTAAAATTAGCTAAATTATGTACTACCCGTGCATCGCACGGGCTTGAAACCTAGTATGGATTATTATCGTAGAATCCATAAAAATATGGATTATTGTGAATTTCACCAAAATTTTAAAACTAATCTCACTAGTCTTTCCAAGCTTTTAATTTTTTTTAGGAGCACTCTGAAATATTCCCGATGGTGTACGTTTTGAGTAGAAATGTTACCTCCACTGGGGGCTTCTTCCTCTGTCTCTTGTTCTGCCTCTGGCTGTGTAATAAAATTTGCGTATTTCAATCTCAGGACATTTCTCAATCCCGTACGCTCTCGAAGACTAGGAGTGAGAGCTCGATCTTCAATGTCGTACGACGCACAACTCCACGCCGCTAAGAAAGCCGCCACTCTTGCTGCTCATCTCTGTCAGGTATCTCTCCAGTATATTGGTACTCTTTCAATCGTTCTACTCAGGTGGTAGCTATCGTGGCTGAAGACAGGCCAAACCAATTTTTTGCTGTATTTTTTTTGGGTTTTCCCTTTAAGACCACCGGCTATTTCTGTAAGACTAGCACAATCACCCATCGCACAGCCCAAACTGATCCGCCCCTGGTTCTTCTAGGCCTCCATCAGCCATGAAGTTAGGTCTCTAAGCATTTAAAGTTGTAATTGGCCGTATGATTTGCTGTTGTTTTCCTTCATCTCGCTCTCACTGACGACCTAGCATCGACTTAGGAAAGGATATTTTCATTATTCATTTTTTGAGCCTGTAGATTCAATTAGCTTCAATCTCACTCTCTCTACCAAAAATCGTGAAAACAGCTTAGGTGATACCTCTGTCGTTGTACTTTACAGAAAGTTCAGAAGACGCTGTTGCAAACTGATGTGCACTCAAAGACAGATAAGAGCCCAGTCACTGTGGCTGATTATGGTGCGTGGTGTTATTTATTCATTAGTATTGTTCATAACTTTCCGAAAGTTTCTAAATTAGCTTCTTTGCTACCAAACAATGTGCTTTATTATTTAAAGATCAAGTTTACAAATTAATCTGTATTTTATGGAATGGCTTATTGAGGATCAAATATAGTTTTATTTCAAGTTGTTAAAATGGCATTTTAGTTCAAGTTGTTTAATACCAACACTTTAAGTACTTCAGACATTTCAACGCACGTCATTTAGGGCAGGTTTACCATTATTCATTAAGCAAATGTATTGTAACATTTGATGGATTGTAACACTAAGAGTCTAAGACAGATAATTTTTGCTAAAAAGTCATTCGTCATGTCAAGGCTCTTTGTTTGGGTTTGGGTACATGTGATTCATCTTTCTAATTTGGTTACAAACTCACCAATATGTGATGGCACTTATGACTTCTTTGGATGATACATTTACTTGTCAGGTTCACAGGCAGTGATCAGCCTTATATTGCAGAAGGAGTTGCCTTCTAATTCCTTTTCATTAGTGGCCGAGGAGGTTAACTTTTGTGCATATGATATTTTTTGTTTTATTGAAATTTCAAAGCAGGGAATCTATATTTAACTACACTGTACATAATTTACCACTCTGCATTATAATCCTTGGATCATAGAAACTGCTGCTTACTTATATTCGAGGTTGTTCTCTAGATTTCAGGAAAACAGATACTCTTCATCTGTTTACTTGATTCGGAAAACAGAAAAAAGCAAATATGTTTTGTTTTTTGTTTTTCAGCTTTCAGAGAACAAAAAAGATTTCCAGTTAGTGAACAGCCTCCTACTGCTACTGAATCTTACTACAATGATAGAAAAAACTTCCTTTGTCTTTTGCAGTTTAAGTGTGAAGTGGAACAATGGAAAAAATAAATTTTAGGAGGGGAACTTTAAAGATTAGGCATTATTTAACTAATGGAATCATGCGTTGCCATGATCTCTCAGTGCTATACCAATAAAGTTTTCATGTTGGAGATATTTGCGCCATTTCTCGAGCTAACACATTGTTAAAACGCAACTTGTGATTAAACCACTTGTGTACCTGATAGCAAACTGAAATTTAAAAGGGAAGCAAGAAGCTGCAGGATAAGAAAAATTGTCAAATGGAATGTTCTTGCTCCTGGTCTGTTTGTTTGATCCAATTTTGCGAAGTTATTAATTGAAGTGTTAACTTGGATCATATAGGCCCATAGGGTAGTTATCAATGATTCAATGATGCCACACTCACTTGATAGTCCATTGATCAGCACAATTTATCTCCTTTTATTATTTAGATAGATTTATAACACCTGTCTATTTTCTGAAGTACCGTAGAAGCATTTGTCTGCTTAAACAGTACTCCGCCATTTAGTTCTAATTGAAACTGAAATGTGGATGCTGGACTTGTACAGGACTCAGAAGACCTCCGCAGAGAAGATTCAGAAGAGACTCTTCTGCGCATCACAGAAATTGTTAATGATACTCTCGCTAGCACTGAATCAGGAATCACTTCTCCCTTATCTAAAGATGATGTTCTTGCTGCAATTGACAGTGGCAGATCTGACGGTGGTCCTTCTGGTTGTCATTGGGTACTAGATCCTATCGATGGGACTAAAGGGTAATTTTTCATTCTTCATACTTGGAGGGAGTATTAACTATTAAGTATGCAATTCATTCTTTTCTGAAATAGTTTTCCATTGTCTATGCGTTGTTTCCATATGTTGATTAGAATAAAGAAATGATTTGACATTTGATGAAAATAAGTCTTTGATGAGATATTTTAAATTATTAACGAAATAGGAAGGAAGTTTACTGAGAATGAATGAAAAGAGGGCAGCTAACAGAGGAAACAGTAATCTATTGCAAATTGAAATAAGAGCCACTTGAAATGTCATTTCGTAGGTTTCTAAGAGGTGACCAGTATGCTATTGCACTGGGTTTACTAGATGAAGGGAAGGTAGTTTTGGGTGTCCTCGCCTGCCCCAATCTTCCATTAGCTTCTATTGCATACCATGGTTATCAAGAGAACTACGGTTGTTTATTTTTCGCTCAAGTTGGAGCTGGCACCTATATGCAAACTCTAGATGGCTCTCCTCCTAAAAAGGTTGTGATCTTCTTCGGTTCTGTTCTATTTAGAGCTCTTTGGTAGTTTTTTTTGCTGCAATAGCAGAATTTGCTTAATTTACTGAAGTGAAAAGCGTTCATTAAATTGATTTCAGCCAAATAAGCAAGGCAATGCTTCTTATTCTACTTATTCTAATTATTCTACTCATAAGCAGAATAAGCTTTTTCCATCATTTGCAATGGAGCCAAAAATTCATTATTTTTTGGCTTGAGAATATGATGGAATAAAGCAAAATGGTTCACTAAATTGTCTGCGCTTCTTTGTTATGAAGCAGCAGTCAGTCCATGCAATTTTGGACGCGATTTTCACTATGCTTTAGTACAAGGGTAAGACTGCGTACATCCAACCCCCCTTATCCCACCGTAGGTGGGAGCCTTTGCGGCACAGGGGTAAATGAAAATTAAAATGATAAGCAGAATAAGCTCATTGATGCTACAAAGTGGGGCCTTAGTGATGTTAATTAAAATTTTAATCTTATTATCGAACAGGTACATGTCACAGACATTGAAAACCCCGCAGAGGCATCATTTTTTGAATCTTTTGAAGCAGCGCACTCAATGCATGACTTGTCTAGCTTGATTGCAAGGGTATAATACTCTCCTTCATTATAAATCTCTCATGTTTCGTTAATAAGATTTTAACTCAAAAAACATAAATAAAGAAACTAGGCGTGAAAGCATCACCTGTTCGAATAGATAGTCAGGCCAAGTATGGTGCATTGTCCCGAGGAGATGGAGCGATATATTTGAGATTCCCCCATAAAGGCTACCGTGAGAAGATATGGGATCATGCAGCTGGATGTATTGTTGTTTCTGGTACATTTTTCTTAAGTTAACGTACTTACGTACTTTGATATTTCATTTCTTATCAGCTTTCACATGAACATTTTGAACATTAGGAATTGCCGTCCAAGAATTGTTTGGCACATCAGCTATGTCCTGATGTGCCATTCTAAAGTTGAACCTGCTTACTGACTTACCTATTCCACCCATCTCTTAATATAATCAATAGAAAACAAAAACTAAATGCATAATATGTTGGTACTTGAGACCAATGTTGTAAATACTAACGAAGTAACGATATTGCCCTAAATAGAAGTAAAAACGTTTTTGGAATTCCAAAATTTGAGCTCTATATTTTTATTCCCTAAGTAGGAGTAATTACTGCTTGGAAAATACGGCAAATTTTGCTGATTTACTGCCATATTTAGAGTTTGGTAATGCCAAAGTATGACAGTAAATTTTTAAGATAGTAGTAATTTACTTTTCTAAGGAAAAAAAACACAATACTCGCATTTTGGAATTTTACATTATTTCTACAAATGTTTCGGTAGGTTATAGGCTGACTAGGAAATCCATAGGTGCTTTTTACTAGACCAGTCCATGGTCTCCAGTTGAACAGGAACCATTGTTTTTTGAAACGGAACGATGAGATAAGGGCTGTTTGGGTCCTCCGATTTGGAACTGTTTTTATTTTATTTAAAAACAACAGCATCGGCAATATGATGATGATAATATTAAAATGGAAATTATACTAGCAATAATAATAGCACTAATAATAATAATAATAATAATAATAATTATAATAGCAATAATAATAATACTAATGATAATTATAATAATACAAAAAAGTATAGATAAATAACATTATAATCCCCATACATCTATATCCCCAACTACCCCAAAGCATAATAAAACAGAGAACAATTAGCAATAATAAATAGGGCCCCTAATAAATAGCATGTAAAATAATGTCATTCATGAATGTACCAAGTCCTTTATAAAGCAGAGCGCCTCTGATAAACAAAAGTCACACACACACAATGCATTCATTTATTTATATTATGTATTAGTATTATTCTTATATTTTGTACAATTGTTTAACTTAAATTGAAAATTTTATTCATATATTTATATTATGCTATTGGTATTATTCTTATTCTTTTGTACAATTGTTTCACTTAAATTGAAAGTTTTAATTTTTCAAGTTGTTACTAGTAAGAATATAACTTTGACAATTGTAAACAAAAAAATATATTTCTCTTGTTTTTGGAACCCTTTAATTTAAATAATTTAATTATTTTATTTCTATTTCAATTTTATAAATAATAAGAACTAAATTAGTAAATCTCTTAAGAACAATAAATAAAAAAAAATGAACCTGAACCAAACTGGAACTGCTGGTTCCAGAACGGGGTAAAAACCACCTATTTACTGTTCCAGTTCTGGTAGCAAAAAATTGGAACAGGAATAGATGGTTCGGTTCATAACTGCGGACATGTGTACCTAAGTATCATGTTACTACTAAGCAGTAGAGCTCCATGTTTTGGGATTTTTATAGAAATAGTAGACATAGTTTACTATAATAGACTCCTGTAAAAAACCTGTTTCTAGAACTAATTTTGTCCTAAAACAAGTGTCTGGAGCCAGAAATCCACTTTAAGTTTAAAACAATAATCGTGTAAAGTCGGATGTCGGTTGTAGTCAATTACTCCAAACAATATCGGAATAAATTTATGGGTACAAATGACCATCCATAACTAGTAATAACTTGGACCCCCAATTGCATTGAATAAAAAGGAAAAGTTGCGACTGACTCAAATAGAACTTTTTTTAGCATATGCAGTATTATACGGAGTATATAGTTTGGACATAGGGATTGGCGTTCAAGAATTGTTTGGTACATTGGCTATGTGTGTGCAAGGTTTAAAACGGCTAGTTCGGGTATTGAGGTGGTTTGTCCAGGAGGGGCGAGTCGTAATCCTTGAGGCATACACCAACAAATAAAACTTAAAATCGTTAAAAAAGTAATAACCAACTAAAGATATGCATAATAATAAATCTAAATAGTCTCCAACACCAACACATATATGATCACATCATCAAACATGATCATTCAAAATGAGAATTCAAGCAAGCAAATAGACACATCACCATCGTCTCTTCCATCATCAGTCGTCACAATCAAAAACCTTAAATTTTTTTTTTTTTTTGCAAGGAAAATCCTTAAATTCTTCCTCTCCTTCATCATCATTTACCTCCATTACTTGTTTTTTTCTTCTTATTTTTCTTATTTTCCCCTTGGTTACCCATCTAAGTCTTTGTCCACTTTGTGCAGGAGCAAGAAAACTTCTTTGTGTAGAAGAATGAATTTTTTTCAACTACACTGATAGTGCTTAATTAATAGATATCATACGTTAGGGTATGGTTTTTTTTAATGAAACATGACTTGTTAGGGTTTAGTGTGGATACATGTATAATGTATGGGCTTTTTATTAAATAAAAAAACACTGGACCCTTTTTAAGTTAGAAACACATTAAAAAGATAGAAACAAAGGAAAAACACCTCAAGGCGCGTTTTGAGGTGTAAGGCTCTTATCATGGAAAAGAACCTAAACCTTGAAACCTTCTCTGTACGCATCACCTTGAGGCGTATCTCAAAACCTGCCCTGTAAGTGCCTTTTTAAACCATGCTTGTGTGCAATACTAAAGCTTAACCTACATACATTTCCTAATATTTACAGACACATTAAAAAGAAAAATTGGATTGTGCACCCATGTTTATTTCAAAACTGGACTTTGGATTCCATTTTAAAGTCCTTCCGGCCTGCACTCCCAAAGCTCGAAATCCTTTGTAGTGTGCTCCCTCAAGTCTCAAAAGTTGCTTATTTATCTTGGACTTTGCGCTCTATGTTTAGTTTAATATTTGACTTTGCGCTCTATGTTTAGTTTAATGTTTGAATTTGTAACTCAATTTGGGGCTTCGGCATTCAAGCGGCAAGAATTTAAAAAAAAAATGCATCCAAGAAAAAGTGGAGCGCAAAGTCCAATTTGAAAAAACAACAGAGAACATAATCTTATCGGGTGATATGTTGATACTTGAAAGTTGAGGCTGGTGCTGTAAAAATCAACCTAGGGACAAAGTCACAGAGTGCGAAATGCCTTCTTAACTTGCCTTTATGTTCTGGGCTGACTAGGCGCCTTTAACTAGTAAACACACCATCGTTTTGTTTGATATTTTTATAGAAATATTAGATATAATTTGCTCCAATATACTCTATCTCGTTTTTCCATTAGTACACTTCAGTTTTAAAATAAAATTAGTATAAACTAAACAGAAAGTTGTATTGCTCATTTAGTGTGTATATGATCATTTAATTCTGAGCTCTATGCACATAGATAAATTTAGTATAACTAGTAAAAGCTTGCATCATGTTTGCGTTGACTAAAAATTAGAAGTTAGACCTAGACAGTATTATAATATGGGCCCCACACATTAGATGTAGCGCCTCTTGGTTGTCTAGCTAAAGATCATTCATTCTTTTTCTCTGAGCTTTGAATTGGAATGATTTTGTATGTTTTTAATGTGAATATTGTAGAAGCTGGAGGCACAGTGACAGATGCTGCAGGAAACCCATTAGATTTCTCCAAAGGAAGGTACCTGGACTTGGACACTGGCATCATTGTCACCAACCAAAAGTTGATGCCCGCTTTATTGAAGGCTGTTGGCGAGTCATTGGCCGAAAAAGCCTCATCTCTGTGATCCCATGTGTACACACTCATTTATGCATATATTCTTAATTCTGAATAATCCCCATCCTGTTATTCTTTTATTTGATAAAGGTACTTGAGACTTCTGTCTGGAAAATGGTACAATAGTGTTAAGTCATTTTTCTTGAAAATGAAAGTGAAAAGTAAGCATTCACAGGTTGAGCCTAGAAAGGAACATCAGAAGGGTAGTCATGAGGATGCCTTCTGATGGTGTCTCTAAGTGACATCTCTTGCTCAAGGAGGTTGGCAGGGGGAACATCATATACATCTGTGAAAACTTCAGTAATCGGAGGTTTCTCCGCCTTCTCTGCCACTTGAATTGCATGTAAGACCTGCAACCAGTGGATTCGATGGTCAATGAGTCATTTGGTACGGAGTATCTTCTTGTTGGTGCATTATTTAGTTTGTCATATCACATATGTTGCCCAAGTACATGTGAACAGAGGTACAATGAAACATGAGTAGAAATGTTTACCTGCTTCCTTATACTGGTTTGAAGTTGAGATTCCGCTGCAGAGTCCCACCAACCTTCTCTTTGAATCCACTTCCTAAACCTTGTCACAGGATCCCGAACCCTTTTCCACAACTCAATCTCATCAGATGAACGATATTTCGTGGAGTCATCTGAAGTGGAGTGATGTCCCGCTCTGTATGTGAGTGCCTGTGATGATAAATTTAATGTAATCATTTTTCGATGACATACTATTGGATCAAACAAATGTCACAAATCTTAGTAGTGATTACTCAGACGGTCTGGGTCTGATTAATGGAAAGGGTGGAACTGTAAGTAAGTATATTTCAGTCTCGTTCCGATTTATGTGTGGGGTTTCGGTCCAGTTTATAGGGTTGGTCTTGGTTCTGTCTCTGGCCCTAAAAAATCGGATCGGAACAGGACAGTTCCTACATTGGAGGAACCAAAACCGAACTGGGTTTGAACCAATTTTTTGGTCTGGTTTTGAATGGTCAGTTCTATTTGAACTAGGGTGAAACTTTGTCTGGAACCTATAGGTGGTGGTGGGGATGCGAGAATGAATGGTGGTGTCCCCGAAACCCTCATTTCTTGAAAGGCGTTTTTGTAACATCAATATCTTTTGCTGAACTTTGTGCTCCCCGTAACTTAAATTCTGTGAAAAAATAGAGGGGTATGAAGAACCTCAATAAGAACAGGCTTATGCTCCTTAACAGCAATCTCACGAGCTGCACTAACAGCGTTGAAGATGGCAAGAGCATCATTTCCATCAACACGAATGCTGCGAACTCCATATGCTTTGCCCCTGCTCACAACTCCATCACCTACATGTCATCAATCAATAGACATTACACATGGTCGGGAGATTTTCTATTCGCAAACATGTTAAAACAACTCAACAATCAAGGTAGGGAGGTTTATACTTCGGAACTGGTCTCTAACAGGTGTACTTATTGCCCAACCATTGTTTCTGCAAATGAAGATCACGGGCACCTCCATCACCCCCGCAAAGTTTAGTGCAGCATGGAAATCACCCTAAATGATAATCCATTTAGTACACCAAAGGCGAATCAATACAAATCTGGATCAAACTACTGAGCCTGACATGAATCACACGATCAAATAATACCACCCAAGACCCAAAATAAGAAGTCGTGTTTGGTCAAGATGCTCACTATGTCCCATTTCAAGCTTTTTAGTTAACTATAGTTGACACTTGACAGATTATAAAGAACTATAGTTGACACTTAGATTATAAAGTCACCACTTTTTTTCTTAATAATCCGGACAAACTTGCATACTACACTATACGTTTTATTGAATTACAAAAACCAAATTTTAATACAACATCCAAGTTTTAGCCTCAAAAGAGTTTGGATTGGCTAAAATTTATTTTTTAATGTTATAAGATATTATTATATACTCCGTATTATACTTCGTATAATATGTTAAAAGAGATTTAGCCTGATGGTGTGCATACTGCAGTGTGTCAAAACCTTAAACTGGGATTGAAAAAGTGCAAGATTTTATATTTTGAGTTTTGACATGTTACAACCCCTTCAAATTCCTCATTATGAAACAAAACTTTTCTTTGTTGGGACAAGTCACAAGTGGAGACATGTTCGTCAATCCAAAAAGGTGGAATTGCTCGGTCCAAGTGCCCCCACACTTCCACTCGACAGAATGTATAGAGGAGTAAATCACCATATGATTTCAAACATGTTTGAGTGAAGTTGTTCAGGGTTTAGTTCACACAAGAAGCCACAAAATTGGATGAAATTTTAATGCCACCACTACTAGGAATTGAACTTGAAACCTAAATCAAATTGCCTCACTCAGCTACTGTTGAGCTACCCGTGCAGTGCAACTAATGGAGACACATTTGTGGTCTTATTTGACGAAGAACCCACTGTTGCTATCATTATTTCAAAGAAAATGAAACTAAAGAAAATAATAAAACTGATAGGAAGAAAAACATCTTTTAAAAACATCAAACATGTACTAACATATAAGAACAAAAACATTCCATTGGCGCAATGTATAGAGGTGCAAAATAAAAGCTAATCTGCTTCATGCCAAATGTATACTAAGTCAGTTACTCGAGATGAAACCGATAGGAAGAATATAATATGTTTACCGTACTGGAGCCTCCATCTCCAAAATATACGATAGCACATGCATCCTGTCCATCCATCTTTAAAGAATATGCAGCGCCAACCGCTTGAGGAATTTGTGTACTAAGCCACAATAACCATTCTTTAAATTACTTATATATGTTCTAAAAATATGGTGAATTATAAACTGCACAGTGAAAATAAGACAAGTCTTACGCGACAGTTGATGAGACAGTGAAGTAATTGAGCTTGTTAGATCCATAATGGATAGGCATCTGCCTGCCTTTTCCATTATCATATTTATTTCCAAAGCACTGATTTGCAAATTCCTGTAGGGTGAATCCCCTCCATAACAACACTCCAGGCTCCCTATACTACAAGGAAAAAAATAAAGCAAATATCGTTTCCCATTTATTTATGGTTCTGATAATAGACTCTTTATAATATTCCTTTGACTTGAAGGTTATACAAATCACTAGAAAAGGGAGAAAAGTATTAAACCCACTCTCCTCATTACTGCTTATTTTGCTCCAAAGCTGACTGTTCAAAAACAGATGAATGAACCAAACCAAATATACCCTCTATGTCCCACTCGGAAGTAGGGTCCGGGGAGGGTGAGATGTACACATACCTTATTTCTATCCCCTGGAATAAAGATGTTGTTTCTCTCAAGACATATGCTGAGGAAAAATTCAGGAAGGTTTGGAAGATGTTTAGATTTTTTTTTTTTAATTTTGTAAAGCTTTGAAGAATATAGATCAGAGCTATAATAAAACAGCACAAATAAACATTCAAAGGTGAAAGGTACTGTAAACTGATAAAAACTGCTGGGGAATTAAGGGCAAGAAATAAAGTTACATAAACAGCTAAAAAGACAATAAAAGATAGGAAAATGACAAAGCAGATAAAAAGTACTCCGTAAAAAAAATGGACTAGCTATCACCCACACAAATGACACAATGCAACACTAAATACAGGCCTAGACCCCAAGAGTGGTTGCTCTCAACTGAAACGTATTGTTTTAATTTATACTTCGTAGTTTTTTTTTATGGTGTACAGTTATCAAAATATACTTCGTAGTTATCAATGTATATTGTTAAGAGTCTGTCATAACTAATAAGCAAATATTAAAACAGGCTGAGCTGTACAGTTTTGGCTTCAACTAGTGAAATGACTGCATTCAGTATTTTAGTTTGGTCCAGTTGAGTGATCTAAATCCAATTATGAATTCTACAATAAACTAACAGTACGTAATGCTCTAAACACAAAATACTAACCTGAGGAAAGATGACATCATCCATGTGTAGTGCTGCTGCTGATGCAATGTTGATGGCCTCTTCTCCAATAGTGGTGACGTAGAATGATATCCTTCCTTGTCTTTGTGCTTCATAGAAAATGGTATCCATTGTTTGAAGAGTGACCATGTCGGTATACATTTTCTGAGCAACCTTCTTGTCAATCTGATAACATTAGCAGCCCCCATAAGATTCCCACAAAGGCGATATTGGGGCACACAAGTAACTTTTGCAACTTACCTTCAGAAAATTGATGGACAGAGGGAGACCATCATCATTGAGCACGCGGTAGCAGTGAATCCTTTCATCTATGGTTTCAGAAATAAATTTCATTTGGTGGGTGAATTCAACCTTCCCTCCAGGGAAATCGAGGACCTGAAATTGCATGATATAAGTTGTTCATAATAACTGTTGCTGTCCAGATTATTTCTTAAACATTTTCATGAAAAAAGTGCCACTTGATCCTTAGAAATCCATATTGAATCCTAAGCATGTATGTAGGATGGAGTATAGGACTGGGATGTATTACTTAAGTAAATTTGTTCCAAAAGACTGAATCCTGTCGACGATCTAATTTATTCTTAGTAGGCTCATATTCCATCTTTAATTGTTTCTGGTGTGAAACTCTAGTACATCTATGTCAAAACAACATATGATTACTCATATGTTTAGTAAATAACTCTAAGAGAATCAACATCTATGCTTCCCAAATAATATGAGTAATCTGAAGTCATTGCCACATTTTATTAAGTAATCTCAAAATTATTCATATAGACATTTTTTTGAATATTTGTGGGTCCTACGCTCACATCTGAAATTATATTTTGCTGTCCAATTGTTCGAAAAACTACTCTCACAAATAATATCTGTCACTATTAGTCCATCATCCCAAAGCGGGCAGAGCCATAGAAACAAATGGCAAAAACTAAAGGCCGAAGATAACTCAAAATGTATTAATGTCAACTCACATGTGGAAATCCACATCTTAACGATAGAGAGATACCAAACACGCATTAGCAGCAGTTATTGTATGTGATCAGCTCGGATCAATTGAGATGAAAGAATCAAAGATAGGGATTTACCTGCGGAAGATCATGAGAAACGTGAGCAGTGGGTTCAGGTGGGATTGAGTGAATAAAACGGCGAGAGGTTAGAAGGGTAAGAA